CCGATTTGGTGCATGTGGCAGCCTTCTGGTGGTGCCACGTGTCCAATTCTGGTGGTGCCACGTCACCCAATATCGCGTATCAGCCTTCCGACTTAGAAAAATCATAACTCTCGCATACGAGCTCCATTTTCGACGTTCTTTATACCCACGCGTAGGTAAAATCAAGATCTACAACTTGCATTTAGACTCCATCGGCTAATTATCGATCGATCTTTAATTTAACAGTATGAGGAGTTTAGACTGTTAAATGACCGCGAAAAATTCGTAATTCCTTCATACGGACTCCGTTTTCGTCTGTATTTTTACCTTTGAGTTCCTATTAATGAGATATTCAACTCTTATTTAGGTCGCGTAAGCCAAAAACCACTCGAACTAATATTCGAGTTTCGGGTCGTGCACTACTAAACCGAATCTTAGAAATATCATAACTTCCTCATACGAAGTCAGATTTGGGCGTTCTTTTTATGGATGTTCTTGGTTTAACATATACTACAACCTTGGTTTAGATCACTAAGGCTAAAAAGTCTTCTATCATAAATTCACTTTTTACGTCTCCCGGTGTCGTGTCGGTTTTGCCGTAAAACTTCGACGAGCCATAATTTCTTCGTTATAACTCGAATTTCGGCGTTCTTTATATGTACGGAACCCTTGAGACATATTCTACAACTTGTTTAAGATTATTTATTCTAAATAATCTTTTGTCGAAAAGTCGTTTTCGACCCATATTGTCTCTAAATTGACTAGCCCGGTTCTACGGGCGTTACATTTTACCACTTGTCACACTTTTATTCAATATGTCAAATGTCATTTGTGGTTATTTTGAATTGATTGTTTTTCCACGTGTCATTTTATAAGTTTTTCTATTTTATTAAATCCCATAATATTTCTATGTAATAATTGTAATAAATGTATTAATAAATAAATATCAATTTCGTTAATGAAGTTACTTTTTAATTTCAAAATTCCCAAAATTAAAGCTTATTAGTTTCTTTTGTTTATTTATTTATATTATTTGTTTAAATTTAAAAGATAAAAAATATTTTTATTATAATAATTTATTATTTTTTTTTAATTTCTTATAAATTCAGAATTTTCAAATATTTAGACCTTTATATTTAAGTTTTTTTTTTAAATTAATCCATGTAAAACATGGGTCTCACAACTAGTAAAAAAATAAGTTTATTCTCATTTTGCCATGTGACATCCTATTTGGTCATATAATTAATGACATGTTATTTGTCAACCTATTGATTCTTAATTTTAAATTTTAAATCTTCTACTCTAATTACATTAAATTAATAATTTTATAATAAAAATTAAAATAAAATTAATATAGATTATAAGGTCACATATTTATTTTAATCAATGATTATATTTTTATATAAATAAAAAAAATACCTCTTAATTTATAATTTATTTAAAATAATTGATTAATAATTTTGACTTTTTACTATGAAAGTTTAATTAATTTTGCAATTTTGGTTCTCACAGGTTATAAACTAATATTCTCCATAAATAATTTTGATACTTGTCATCCTGTTATGCATTATACCACATGTCATTTTTTGATAAATTTAAATTAAATTATATTTTGTGTTTTTTTACCATTTTATTAAATTACATATAATACTTAAATATAATAATAAATGTATATCGAACTCATTAATGCAATTTTCCGTATAAGTTCCAAGTTTCTAAATTAAATCCAATTATTTTAATTGTTTATTTATTTAAATTATTAGTTTAAATTTAAAAGATAAATAAGCATTTCAATTTTAATAATTAAACTAGGTGTGAGACCCATGTATTACATGGGTTTATTTTAAAAAAATTAAATATGAAATTTTAACAATTTGATAAATTTGAATTTATAAGAAAATTGAGAAAAAAAATTTGAATTATTAAAATTAATGAGACTTTAATACAATGAATAAATTACATATATAAACCATTTTTAATAAATACCTTACATATATATTACCTTACATATTAAATGTGAAATTTTAATCTAATAAAATGAAAAATACAATAAAATGATAAGTGGAAATAGAAAATTCTAAAATTCTAAAAAATATCATGTATCCAAATTAATGAGAAAAGGACATGTGGCAAAAAGATTTTGATTTATTAGGGATGATATTTTACTTTTTTTCTTATAAATTTAAATTTTGTAAATTGTTAGATTTTTATGTTTTTTTTTTCAAATAAACTCATGTAATATATGGGTTTCACAGAGTTTTTGACCAAAATAGTGTTATTGAAAAAAAATTACCAATTTAAGATAGTTTCAAAAATATTTACCAAACTAGTGTTTTTCTGATTTTTCTTATATTTTTTTACTGTTTTTATTTTATTTAAATATCAGGTTATTTTAATTTCAGCTTTTCACACTTTTTTTTAGTATCAATTTTTTATTTTCTTTATTTCAGATTTATTTTCTTTTTTCAACATATGTTTAACATAATATAAAAATCACACAATCCCATGCATTATTCGTCAATTAAAAATAAAATATTTTAAGACAATTATGGACTTCGGTAAGAAAAAAAAAAGCAGTTATTACTTTCTCTTTTGTAAATATAAATCAAAATAATAAATAGAATAAATAATCTTTGTGTTCATGAAACTCATCCTCATTAATTAAATTACCTTGTACATGGTACAATGAAGAAAAGGGAAAATAAATAGATATGTTGTGTTTTTCTTTTTGACAAAACTGCACAAATGGTTCCAGTTGTTAACTCAAAATTGTCACTTTGGTCCAAACTTTTCATTTTGTTGCGAGTTTAGTCCAATTTGCTTTGAACTTTTTTATAATGATGATTTTGCCCTTGTTTTTTCTTTTCCATTTTTTATTAATTTAAATATTTTTCTGATTAAAAGAAAATTAAAAAAAAAAATTAAAAGATCTCTCTCTCTCTCTCTCTCTCTCTCTATCTATCTATTTATCTATCTATCTATCTCTCATCGTCTTCTTCATTCTATCTTTTTCCTCTAACTCAACCCACAAACACATGTCACATATAGATACACACTGAATTAAAAAAAAGGAACACATAACTATGGATCGATACATATAAATCAAACACATACTCTCTAAAGTAAAATAAAATAAAAAAAATCGATCAGAAGTTCAAAAATTTAGAACCACAAACTTTGTTAACCCCTTTCTTCTCTTATATCATCTGTGTGTTTGCTTTCCTTCCTTCCATCTCATGAATCACAGTTAACCCTTTTCCCATCTAAGATCAATCATATCTCTCAAGGATCCTCGTATTTCCTTTAATTAAGGTGCATATGTGTAAATTATAGCCAGAATGTGTCCGTGGTTCCAATTCACGTCAAAAATCAGAAATCAAACAAGCACTCGTTCATGATGAAATCAGAGACATATACGTACCTGATTAAATCAATGGACGAAATCGCCTAGCCTTGTTCTCTACGACGATACCACCAGAAACTGCAAATGGGAGCACTCGATTAAAATCCCCCAAAAAAAACTGGAAGATCATTATGTATGAGAAGTAGGTTTCTAGTGACATACTTAGGTGTATATATATATATATATATATATATATATATATATATATATATATATATATATATATATAGAGAGAGAGAGAGAGAGAGAGACAACGCCATCTAAGTTCACCGGATCTAGGGTCATTGGAGTTCATCGAATCTAGGGTATGTTCGTCACCAGAGCTAGGGTTTTCAAGAGTCCGTTTAGGTGGCGGTGGCTTGGCTATATCTGACGAGGACATCCAACACCATCGGGGTTCGTATCATCCTAATGGAGACGATGATGAAGTTGGTGCTAATGGAGACGACGATGAAGTTGGTGGCCCAATATCTATTTGTGAAGGGGACTAATATCGGAGGAGAAGGATAGTCGATTTTGCAAGATTTGACCGTCTTCATAGATCCAATAGTCGATTTCTTCTTGAAACAGTATGTGCAAATGATGGCTGAATGCAGAGGTTTCTTGAATAAATGGTGGCCAAAGGAGGAAGCAAATTGTGCGAGGAGGCGACTATTTGTTAGAGGCAAAGGGATGTTTCTTGAAACCGTACGTAGAGAGAGAGAGAGAGAGAGAGAGGTTAGGGTATTTTATTTTTGTATTATTTTTAGTTGTTTTTAATTAATGTAATAAAAAAATAAAAATAAAATAAAATATTAATGGGTAAATCCGTAATTATAAAAAGTTTTAAAATTATTGGACCAAACTTGCAACAAAATGAAAAGTGTGGACCTCTGGTGCTAGTCCAAACCTTTTTAGACAAAAGTGATAATTTTGAGCTAACCAGAAGGACCATTTGTGCATTTTAGTCTTTCTTTTTGATATTTTTATAGACAAAACTGCCAAGTTGGTCCTTGTGGTTGCAAAAAAACTTTGGATGGGGTCCAAAAAGTTTTCAACTTGTATGGAAGGTCCAAAATCAAGAATTTTCGTTGGTTTTGGTCCTTGAAATTTTGAAAGGATTATTTTGCCCTTATTATTTTATTTTCACATTTTCTTTATTTGTTTTCATTGTTTTGTAATTAAAAAAAAGGCAAAAGAAAAGAAAATTTGGAGGACAACCCCACCCTCTCTCTCTCTCTCTCTCTCTCTCTCACGGCACCACTACCCATTTTTGATTTAGGTACTTTAACAAGTGCTTCAAGAAATTTAAATACCCAATTGTGGCTTAAACAGAAATTTGTGAAGCAAAATTATTGAAAATCAATGAACATAACTAAGAACTACAAGTTGCAGTAGGGAAAGATCATTCAGACAAAAGATCAAACACTTGGTGGGCATCCACCATACTTTATGTTCATGGGTTGCAGCTTTACTGAGTAATCTTTCACATTATTTTCTTCTTATATCATTTAATTCCCCATTCTTTCAACTTTAAATATAAACCATTTCCATGAATGGTTTAAGGGTATAAAAAGATGCAACAAGAACGATCTTTACAGATGAGAAAGAAGATAATAACAATGCCTATTTTTCTTTCTGCAATATAAGATTTGTTCGGAGATCGCCACCATCGGTTTTTAGATGCATTATACCTACATGAATTGAACTCAATCTGGTCTTCAAATAGCCCCATTTCGTCTTCTTCCCCACCTAGTCTTCTTCACCATTTCTAGACCAGAAAACCTGTAACAAAGATACAAATCCACCACTTCCACCATAAGCATCCATCAGACCCGTCAAATAATTGAATCGAGGTGAAAAGAGATTAGATACAAAAAAATGAACAGAGAAGAGGGATGTATTAGTCGAAAAGAGGTTTAACTAGAATGGGTAGGGAGGATGGTTTTGATTGGACCCTATGGGAGTTTGATTCCTTGACGATCTTCATTCGCCTTCTGTATAATGTTCTATCATTATATCGGGTTTTCCGATCCATTCTCTATCTACAAAATCATATTTCACAGTTGTCCGACCCATCATTCTAGCGATATCTTCTGGTGAAATCCTTGGAACATCATTTAGGTTCATTGCGACAATTCATGGTGAATCTGAATAGAGAAGGTTGAGAAGGAGACCGAAGACACCAATCGTGATTCGTGTTTCTATACACTAAGTTAGGGTTTATATCATGGTTGATAGGGTTTTAAAGAACATTGACTCAGAGATCTATGAGAAAGGCTTCCAGGAGAGAGAGAGAGAGAGAGAGAGAGAGAGAGAGAGAGAGAGAGGGGGGGGGGTAGGGTCGTCCTCCGATTTTTCTTTTCTTTTTCTTTTTTTTAATTACAAAACAATTAAAACAAATAAAGAAAATGTGAAAAATAAATAATAAGGGCAAAATAGTCCTTTCAAAATTTCAAGGACCAAAACCAAAGAAAATTCTTGCTTTTGGACCTTCCATGCAAGTTGAAATTTTTTTTGACCCCATCCAAAGTTTTTTGCAAACCACAAGGACCAATTTGGCAGTTTTGTCATTTTTATAAATATTATGTCTAATATGGTTATATAGGAGTGTTTGTTTTTAGCTGTTTCAAAAGAAATTGAAAATGATAGTTATTTTGATAAGTTTTTTAATATTAAACTGATTTAGTCTTAACCAAAATATAAATTTAGATATATGTGTAAATTATATATATATATATATATATATATATATATATATATATATATATATATATATATATATAATTTTGAAATTTATAAGGATAATAAAGTATTATTGAATGTTTGCAATGACTAACATAATTTATTAAAAGACCATCATATCATTTTTAATATACATTTAACATAGTTTTTTTGACGTCATTTAAAAATTAAACATTGTATTATTATTAGAAAGACTAGATTATAACCCGTGGAATCCACGGATAACAATGAATCGAAGTTTCAAATAATGAGTTTTCATGTTTAACATTTCAAATGTATTAATGCCGAGTTGTTAATATTTTATGTATTAATACCGACCAATTGAATGTAGTTATATCTAAAAGTTCTAAAGTTTGCTTATGCTTTCAATTTATATTATATTATGTTATTACAAGTTATATTATATTATGTTATAATGCTATCAAATTGTAATATGACATCATTTTTAGATTTATGTATATTTTATTTTAAGAAAGATATTATGTCAGTTTTATGTGTATATTGTTTTTATTAAAGCAATAACATTATTAATTACTATTGTTATGAAACATATATATATATATATATATATATATATATATATATATATATATATATATATATATATATATATATAATGTTCAGATAGACCTTTGGGAATAATAGAATCATGTAAAGTGTTCAGATGCTTCAATGCTCCAAATGATAAAGATGCTGCCAAATGAGTAAAACTACACAGTTAAATAACAAACATAGTAAAATCGAGCAAGGAATTTATAATTTATAATTTTAAATGCTTAACATAGCAACATACTTCCAAAAAAGTTATTCAAATAGTTAAAACTCAAGTTATTAATAACAAAAAGAGTAACTATGAATGAACAAATATCACAACTTATCAACCTTGCTCTCATGAAACGAAAAAAAAAAAAAGATGCAAAAAAGATGAACAAAATCGACTTGCAATAAAAATCAAACATAGAAACAGAAGCATATTTGACTTTGTTCGCAGAATAAAACTTCAAAAAAACAACTAAACTGCCACCATATGGACTTTGGAAAATCAAACATAGAAACAGAAGACCACATACCTACATAAATAAGCATGTCAGGATTTCTAGTCAATGAGTGTTGATCTTCTTCATAAAACAAATAAACTGAAACTGTGGAAAATTGTTATCGAGTTATCAAACCAGAGTTAGCCAAAAGAGGTAGATATCACGTAAAACACTAAAGAATTAATGTCAAGGTCTAACCTGCCACCATATGGACTTAAAGATTCTTAAAAATATCTAAGATTTAACCTTTTTGTAATGAAATTAAGAACAATTGACCTTAATTGACCTTAACATAACAAAGTTTGATAACCAAGAAGTTAAATCTGCACAAAGAAATACATCAAATCTTCTAACTGTTGCAACATTTGAAACTAAAATTAGGGATCATGGAAAAACGAAGAGGGAAAAATCTCATTTAATCAAACGATTTAAGATATTTTCACTTTATACTTATCAACAATTTCCCAATAGCATTTAATATATGGATAGATTAGAACCATCAAGTAGCATTTGAAGTGATACTTAAGAAATATGAGAAACTACACTTCTGTCATTTTTCTATCAAGTTTTATAGCCATATTTTAAATGTGCAATCACATGTTATTGTGATAGAGCTCCAGTCAAATCCATGGCCACAATTTACTTTCCTTCTAATGTCTGTCTGTCATACATCATACAACCACCGAACAAAATAGGGCCTCCAAATAATTATACATACATGTGTTCATTTTTAGTTTCCCAAAAAGGAGTGCAATGCGAAGACATATAATATACCTTAGTAAACAAATAGAAGCATATCTACAAAGTTATGAAGACAAAGAAAATGTGCCTCTTTAACCATTATCATCAGCCTTGAGGTCTGAAAGAACAATCATAGATTAATTCTTGAGAGTGACATTTCCTCGAACACCTGGTAGACAGACTTTGCAAGGCAGATTTTGCAGGGTTCAATCTCTATCCCGACCTCCATGATAGCTGATTGAGATGAAATGGGAGATATATAGGAGCATCGTAGATATGAAATTATGTATGGAGAAAAGTAGATATGGGTCTGTTCAAAAACAACATATATTAAGTAGTACGATGGTTAGGGTGGATTTTTAGGTAATCTGTAAACTGATGCGATGATTTAGGAGTCGATAAATTGAATATGAAGGGGTGTGTGTCGAGATTTACCGGATCCTGATTTGAAATTTGATTTTTAATTTAAGCTAGAGAGGATGAACCATAAACGCGATACTGAATTTGAGCGGGAAAAAAAGCAGAAGGTGAATATTAAGAGGGCACGTGGTAAATTGAGGTCTAAGAAAATGATAAGTGGAAAGTCTAGGAGTCTTTTATTAGGATTAAAGATAAGGATTTCTCGGGGGACGAAAAAAACTACCTTTAATGCTATTATTTGTGACGGATGACAATAATAAGTTATAATTGTATAATTCGTTAAAGTATCTTATTTTTAATTGATGATAATGCATGAAATCATGTTTTCTTTTTGTTTTTTATACTTTGTTAAACATATATTAAAAAAAACGAACCAAAAAAAGTAAAAACTGATATTTAAAAAAAAATAAAAAACAGTAAAGAACTGAAATAAAAAAAAACAACATTTAAATAAAATAAAAACAATAAGAAAAAAAAAAAAGCAAAATAGAAGAAAAATAAAAAAAAAAAAAAAACATTAATTTAGTAAATATTTTTGAAACTATACCATTTTAGTTAAAAATTCGGGTTTTACAACTAATATATTATACAGGATTAAAGAGAAATATCTCTTTGTATTTACTTTTTCAAAATATATGAAAATGATATTTTCACTTCGTAAACTTGCCGGCAAGAAATTTGATTTCTGCAAAAGAAATAATTAGTACGTAACTATGTATTTTGTTTTTTGTACAATTAATATTTGATTGATTGAAAAATATAAAAACTCATACCTAAAATTATACATAGAACAATTACAATTGTTTTCTAACTTCAAAATGTGAAACTAGAAGGATAACATTATTCAATAATAATAATAATAATAATTTAATCATCACATGAGTTATGGTGTTGTTCTATGACTAAATTATAAATTGTTCTATGATTAAAGAAATATGTAATTAGATAAATTATAAATTGTTCTATGACTAAAGAAATATTATGTATGGATCATCATCTATTCTTCAATTTTTACATGTCCATTCGGTTATTGAATTTTATCAGTTAATATCGACTTTTAGGTATTGTTTGTTTTACGAAACGAAAATTCATGAAGTCTGCAGATCACCTCTGCAGCAAAAGATGTGGACCAAACGGCTGCAACCTGCAATAAGAAGCATATTTGTTTTTTAATATCTGCAGATTGTTACGGTAAATTAAAATTTAAATAAACTAATTTTATAAACTGAAAATAGTTCTCAACACCGAAATTTTAAAATTATTAGTCTTAAAACATTGAAAGAATATTAAAAAAAACATGTAAAAAAACAAAAATATAAAATTTTAAAAAAAATGTAAAAAAGTTATCAGTTTTATTCTAGGAAAAAAAACTAATTTTAAAAAACATAAAAAAGAAAATAATAAAAAAGTTTAAAAAAAATACTGCAAACAATGCTTACAAAGTTCGTAAAAGAATTACACATTTTAAAAAGATGCAACCGAAATTGAAAATATTATTAACAGAAACAGTAAAAAATTAAAAAAAATCAAAGTTTTTTTTTTTTTTTTTATTTTTTAAATCAAGTTATGAAAACTATAAAAAGAAATTGTATCAAATCTGTAAATCAAAGTATAACAAAAAATCAAAGTTTTTTAAAAAAAAAAGTTATACAAAATTTCTAAAAAAATCACTTGAAAAAATAAAAACCGAAGAGTTTGAAGAGACAAGTTAAATTCTGCACCGCGCAGAACACACATAGATGTATTATAATCTGAATTCTTACAAAAAACAAACTGTTACGAAAAAATAAATATTACATGCATGTTATGTTGTACGTCGTGCCGCATAGCAAAAAGTGATCTGCAGAGCACTTAGACTCATTGATAAGGCTAAACGGTATCGATATACGGTGGCTACACGTGGGGGTTATGTGGCAAGGCCACCTACGCGGGAACACCGCCCCAGGCGTAGTGGGGATCACGGACGAAGATGACCAATCAGAAGGGGAGAGAGAGTATATATATATATATATATATATATATATATATATATATATATATATATATATATATATATATATATATATATATATATATATATATATATATATAACGTATACTTTTTTGACCGTTTGCATCTTAAACAAAATAAATAAATAAATTTAAATAACATCATTTATATATATATATATATATATATATATATATATATATATATATATATATATATATATATATATATACCAAATAAAAAAAAATACTTCTACTTTCTTTGATTTTTTTTCAAAAAAATGGATCCCAACCAAAATACTCCACCCACTCCAAACATTCCAAACACTCCAAAAACTCCTAATGATTATCAAGCTTATATGCAATTGTTGAATTCTCCAATCCAACAACAACCTTTATTCACTAACCTTCCTTACAACTCACAAATCTTCCAACAACAACGGTCACAATTCATTCCCCAATTCCAAGGTTTCCAACAACAAACTTCTCCACAATTCCAAATTCAATCGTCTCAAGTCCTATTATCTCAATCCCAAATCGTGAACCTCGACAACGACGATGTACTTGTCCAAGAAACACCACAATTATTCCGAAGAAGGCAACCAAAAGGAAAAGGGAAAAAGAAAGCAACGGCTTGGAACGAAGAAGAGGAAGAAGCTTTAGCAAAAGCTTGGATTTTCATATCATGTGATTCGAGAAGAGTTTTTGGAATCGTGTTTTGGATCACTTTCACGCTACTTGGAAGGAAAACGGATCGGTCCTACAACGCGGTCAACGGGAAATGGCGTGATCTTCGCACGGTTTGCACAAAGTGTAATGGTATATTTGAAAATCTAAAAAAATATGCATAAAAGTGGTTCCAACGATTTCAAAATTTTATCAACCGCATGCTACCAATTCAAAGTGACCAACAACGGTAAACCATTTGGTCGCCAAAAAGCATGTGAAGTTTGTCGTAAAGGTCCAAAATGGGTCCTTAACCCGGAGACATCGCATTCGGACTCGATCACCGGCTCCAACAAAAGAGCAAGAACTTCTGAATCGGATACGAGTTTTGGGTTAGACCTCAATGATGACGTTGATGTTGCCGAGGGAGACGGTCCACCTGAAGTCCAACTCCGTCGATCACCGGGAATGGATAAAGCAAAACGGGTAGCGTCTTCAAGCGGGAAAGCAACCACAACTAGCGACGACGGGTTTGTGGAATCAATAGATAAAACTCTAAGTTTTCTAGAAAAAAATACGAATCCACGGATGAAGCTCGTCGTCAAAAAATCGCTTTTACCGATGTTCAAATCATAAAGCCCCTACGAGATCTCGACCCCGAAAATCTTACGACATTTATCAAAATTCAACAATGTGTCCGTGCTAAGTATGCGGATTACGTTCTAATATTTATGTTTTAGTTGTGTTTTTTTTTTTAAAGTAAATTAGGATAAATAAGTAATTTAGGATTTTTTTTTTTTTTTTTTGTCGTTTAAGTATTTAGGAAAAATAAGTAATTTAGGATTTTTTTTATTGTTGTTTTTTAAATATTGTAGGATTTAAGTTTGTGTGTTTAAAAATTAATGCAATGTTTTTTAATTTAATGTTTTTAATGTGTTTTATTTGAATTATTTTTTAATTTAATATAATATTATTCAAAAATATAAAAAAAAAAATGATGTGGAGTGGTAACCATTCCTAAAGGTTAGTGGGTTGATAGTAGGTTAGTAGTGAATGTGATGTAGCGCTAACGTGGCTTCCAGAGTCAAATATGGACTTTTGCAATCTTTTGCAATCCAGAGTCAAAAACATAAACATCAAACATGAACATAAACAATAACAACAAACTCATGAGTAGAAGGCATAATCTTTTGCAATCCAGAGTCAAATATAGACTCATTTTCTTGGATGGATTCCCCTTCATCGTTGTCTACTTTTCTAGACAAAAGACTAATCTACCCCCATAAAAAAATCATGAAACCTAGAAGTAGAAATTGCTATTTATCATAAATCTCTTTTGCACTTAACAACTAAAAAATATGTTTTGCAATTGAACAACAAAATTCTGCAGCAAACATGGACAAAAACAAATAAAAATCGAAACTTTTAAACAAGTTCAAACATTAATAAAACAACAAAATTTCACTGAACATAAATTCAAACGAATATCAGAATCCTAGATTCAAAATCAAAAATTCGAAACAAGAAATAAATCAAAATCTAGAATTCAAACCATGTTATGTTTATATTATGATCAGTTGAAGAAATCATACAAAAAATAAATCAGAATCTGAAAGAGGATGGAGATCATCGATGAAGAGGCAATGGATCATACCTGATGAACAGTCAGGAGACCGTCGATGGAGGTTGGCTGTGGAGCAGATCGCCGGTGGTGGGCAGATGCAGAATCGACGAGAAGGAGGCGTCGTGAAATGGATCTATCCCAATCAGATTCCTTCTTACCGAGTCAGATGCCCACAATTCGATTACCAAACGCCTTTTGCTGACCGAATCAGCTAAAAACATCTGATTCGACTCGGTCAAACGTTTATCAACCATGCCTTTACTGTTTATTTGACATTATCATTATTACAAAGATAACAGTATTAATTATGTAAGTGCGGTGTTCAGTTTCCAAACGAGGCTGTGACTTGTGAGCCCCACGAATATATGCAAGGAAGTGGTGACCGATTTCCATACGAAGTGCTGTGGGGTCCACCGGCGTCAAATCATCGTCATTTATAAGTAACGGCGTTAGTTCTCCGTGGAATAAGTTCGATCTCAGGCTCTCAGCTACTCTGGAATTACGTATGCACATTGCACAGCACAGGTATTTGTAGAGACGAGAGTATATAAATCCAGCAACGAAGCTAAACCTAAAGCTAAAGTGTGAAAAATGGAAGCGGAACAGAAATCGGTGCCGGTGATGATCGTCGGAGTAGATGACAGCGAGCATAGCTTTTACGCACTTGAGTGGACTTTGGATCACTTCCTAACTCCATCTGCTCCCAATTCTCCCTTCAAACTAATCGTCGTTCACTCCAAGCCTTCTCCTACTTCTGCAATCGGCTTCGCGGGTCCTGGTGAATCAATTGATCTGACACTTGATACCACTACTTTTCTGTGTCTTGGAATTGGATGCTAATTAATTTGTTTTATCGCATACCATTGTCTATTGAATTCAGGTGCGGCGGATGTTTTTCCGTTTGTGGATGCGGATTTGAAGAAGATCGCTGCTCGAGTTGTGGAAAGGGCAAAAGAGCTTTGCCATTCAAAATCGGTTTGTACTTTGTTTCATCTTTTCGTTCGAGAGGCATAATAGTGGTCAGTGGAGAGAGCTAACTATAATCTAACTCTGCTGATAGATGTCAACTCGTTGTTGCAATTTACTCCGCTAACAAAACGGAACTTTGAGTATAAACTATAAAGTAACCCTAGGCCGTAACAGTAACGCATCTGAAATTTTTGGTTGAAATGTTTGATTTCATTTTAATTGTTTGGATCGTTTGTAAAAGATGATGATGATTTTGTATTGTAGGTAGATGATGTGAATGTGGAAGTTGTGGAAGGCGATGCTAGGAACGTTCTATGTGAAGCTGTAGAGAAGCACCATGCCACCATATTGGTAGTTGGTAGCCATGGTTATGGAGCAATTAAAAGGTAATCTTGTTTACTTATCACTTATGTATGCATCAACTCAACTGTTGGAAACTAATTGCAGTTTAGATCAGATGGATTTGGGAATGCATTCTATCAAATCGTCATTCTTGTGTTTAATGTACCCGAAGTATTTTAACACCCTACAAAACTAGTGCTTTTGTTTTTTGGTTTTTTGTAGGGCGGTTTTGGGAAGTGTTAGTGACTATGTTACTCATCATGCCCATTGCACCGTGATGATAGTGAAGAAGCCCAAGACCAAACATTGAGAGGATTGAGCTGAACATCATGTCACAAATGGTGCCTTTAATCTTCCAAATCTGGGACTTCTACCATTGATATTGCTTATTTGTTAGGTTGAAGATTTAAGAAATTATTGGTGTGTATTTCCTTACTAAAACTCTACCTGCAACTACAAATATTTGTGTATGTATTTTGTATTTACACTATAAACATCTTAATTATAGTCGATCGTCATTATCTTAATAAAACCTGCTTCAGCTAATTAATTCTCTTGAAAGCCTTTTGCTATTGCTCGGTTTTGTTTTGTAGATCAATCTTAACAATTAAAAAAAAAAATGAAACTTTAAGCATTTAAAATATAAGTTTTAGGTATCAAATGTTTTGAATATTTAAAAAAATTTGAACTTGCAAATTTACATGCATGAAAATTGATGGTTTTACCAAGCGACTAGGGGATGCAATTATTCCACCTAAATCACTTAAATATATATTGTAAAAAATTTGAGATTTCTGCACTTGCACTTACTGAGTCACAAACCTTAGAAAATAACAAAAAGTCGATTGTTGGTCAACCTGTTGAGTCCATATGAAAAAATAATTGTTTTGATTTGTTTTTCAATAAGATGCTTAGGCCTTACGAAATGTATGTTTTGCAAGTTGGTAAAATTAAAATTAATATGTATTGTATGAATATGACCTTACTAATTGTGGAGCCAGAAATCTCTGATCTGTACCGACATATCTATTCTGATTTCTGAGGGTGAAATTAAGATCATATATTAATATGTTTATCCCACCAAACCAAATAAAGATGAGGGATGTAATTAATCTATGAACAACAAACAAAATCTGGTTGGCAGTATGCAATTTGGATGGATGATTCTTGCACACACTTAAACTCATAAAAACTGACAATATCTGAATCCATTTGTAAAGCTTGCACATTGCCATTTTTGAGAATAATCCAAGGCACGGAATGGCAAGACAGAAGCAGCTATAACTGATAACATATAGGCTAAAAATTCATCTCTAATTTAGTAAATGATATGAGCTTGGAAACAATCGATGCATCTAAGTGACAGAAAGAAAGGAGCATTGGATATGGATTAAGCATTTCTACGTGTATAAGGGCCAATCGGTCCACGCACCAGACACATGCCCATTCTCACAGACATACGCTCGAACAACTGGCTCCCCATCGTCATGAAACCCATACGCAGGCCGCAAACAGAAAGCCGCATGCAAGTCATACACTTGACTAATAGAACAATAAGCACAATTCAAATCAATTCTGCTGCGATTCCCATCTTTAATCGTCCTCCAAACCCTAGATCTCTTAAAATCCTTGAACACCCCCCTAAAAAGCATGTAATTACGCTTCTCCTCGATGTGCACACAACCAGGCCAATCACAAATGTATAAACAATCACCCCTGAATCGACTTGCCAACAATTTATTTCCTTGCTCACGGCTCAAATTCCAAGCACCAGATGCCAAATGGGACCTTGAAGATCTACAGATTTTTCTTCGTTTACAGACACCAAAATCAACAACAACAACAATGCCGTCGTTACCTTCTGTTCCTTGTTCAGAAACCTCCTCGGATTTATGGCAAACATTACCGTAAGCAGAATCATAGTAGAGATCGTCGTACAAAGACCAAGAACAATCAGAGCTGTTAACGGAACTTTTCATCTTATCATCGTCAGTAATTCTAGAACAAGAAGGATTTGATACGGATTTACCCGGTTGAAACAGATTAGTTTCATGATAGTTTTCATCTGGACCTAGTTCGCGTTCGAGCCCGAGATCTGAATTTTCGAGGAGGACGCCGGAGTGGAGGAGGCCAGGGCAGCAAACGGAAAGCTTGTGAAGGGACGCCCAGCCGCCAGGAGGAGAGATGGAAGAGGTGATTGGAGTGTTCGATTGGAGGAGATCGGAGACGACGGAAGGGATTGTCTGATGGCATTTGGTTTTCCAGCAAATCGTGCGAATCATATTCGAGAATTTAGTACAAACGCAAGCGAGACGTGACCAGTCACGAGGATCATCTTCGATCTTGAAAAATATGTTTAGAACAACATCGTCGGAAAGATAGGAGAACAGATTTTCAGTGCCAGTTTCAGACATTTTCCACTTGTTTTTCGTCGAATAATTGGGAAAACACACAGCAAATTCTCCCCTCGATCTGCGAAAAAGACTAAGAAGTTCCTTCTTGTTGCTCGGGATTCAATTCCAGAATGAAATGGTTGGTGGGGCTAAGGGAGGAGATCTCGCAATATGTACACTGAACATAGATGATTTTCGTCGGGATTTCTCGCCCGCTTTATCACATTTACAAACTAACCCCTATAGATTTGGTTAAAAATTAATGAAGTGTTAAAATAGAAATCTTATCTGTTTTTTACAAAATAAGTATATGAGAAATTAAGTAATCTAATCAATTTATTTATAGGAAATTAAGTAATCTAATCATTTTTTAACATGTATTTGAAAAAAAATAACAAAAAGAACCACTTAGTTCGGAATGGCATTCCGGACCAAGAAAAACCACTTTCTTTTACTAATACCGGAATGACATTTCGGAGTCTGGATTAAAATTTCGGATTTCGAAAAAAAAAAAAAAAAAAAAAAAAAACTCTGGAATTTCAAGAACAAGTCGGAAATTCGCAGAACAATTCTGGAATTTCTTGGTTTTTTTTTTGTTTTCTTACTTAAATTTAACAAAAAGTTAAACAAATATAGTAATATAAATATATTATGAGGGCTTTTGGGATTTCATTTAAAAACTCCTTTTTAACTTATTGACTTCTCGAAAAATCAATAAGTTAAAAAACATGTTTAAATACTTAATAAGGACTTTTAAAACAACTTTTGGTTTATTCTTTGACAAAGAGTTTTGAAGAAGTTATAATTAATGATTTTTTTTAATGGTTTATGTACATTTGAGATAGGGATTTCTACGTGTTATCATACCCGTTGTCTAGTGTATACGTGTTTTTCTCCATCGCTTCTGCTTCATTCGTGTCATGTTAGAATAAAAAACAAACAAAAGTCAATAAGTTAGTCAAACACTTTTTAACTTATTCATTTATTGACTTTTGTCACTAAAAACCAAATCCAAATACTTTTTAAAAATCTCATCTTTCCAAATTGATAAGTCAATAAGTCCTTTTTAAAAAAAAAATCCTTTTAATTTCAAAATGAAATCCCAAAAAAAAAAAGATTTTTTTGAAAAAAAAAACACTCTTGAATATGAACAATACTCAAAAATTAAACATTGCGGAGAAAGTGATTATTTTTCAAAAACTACAAAAAACTAGTTATTTTCTTTGAAATCCTCATTTATAATTAAGGTAATAAAAAACGTTTGGCGGTAGCACGACGATGGATTGGGATCAAGAGATTAATCGGCTAGGCGGTGTAACGTTCCAAAACCAGGGCGAAATTTTTCTTTTTTAAAATAATATAACATCCATGTTGTAACACTCCAATCTAGGTATTCCATTGTCCACCTTCTTGTATTTTTTTCATTTTTTTTTGGCAAAAAGGACCTTTCTGTACGTTGGGCGTACACTTGGTACGCTTACCGTACATAAGAGATGCGTATCGGGTGGATGAGCCTCGTACGTTGGGCATACGAGCAGGTATGCGGGGCGTACGTGTCAGATATCTAAAACCCTAATACTTGGATTTTCACCATATTTAAGCAACCTTATATCATTTAAACCAAACCCTAATCAGCCTCCATAGCCTCATTTCGTCCCTTAACCCCATATTTTCGTGAGAGTGTGATCCTTGAGCTTAAAGAGTGTTTTGGTGGCCATTTTAGAGAGCATTCAAGAAGGAGAAGGTGGTGAGAAAGTCTTGGGTGTCATTGAGCTTTTAGATCTTGCATCTAGTTCATCTTGAGGAACT